ATATACCTCTTGGGATTAAGTGGTAAAGGGAAATGAGAAAATTATATAAAATTCTGAGTACCAAGCCACTTTGCAGATGTTCCACTCACTTTCCCCACCTCCCACTCACTATCTTCTTCCTCTACCTCGAGATGAGGTGCTCTTTGTGATGTAGGATATTATTTTGAGAATAACACCCATAATTCAGTCTTTGATCTCAGATAAATCTTTTGCCTCCCTTGACTTTGGTTATACCATCTTTAAAATGAAAGGGTGGGGCTAGCCTAGCTCTAATGTCCCTTTAGGTCTGTGAATTCTACAGCTGTTACAGGGATAGCAATAGATACAATATCTGAAAGGTTTCCATGGTCTGAAAAAAGTAACACCCCTGAAAAACAGTTTGTGGTTACCCATTTCATTTTTTAAAAAGCAATAATATTTCATATCATCACATTAAAAAATGACTCAAAGCACCAGCTAATGACTCATTGCCTTAACAACTCTCTAACACCTCTTCTAGGTGTTTCCTATTTGTTGATTTCCTCTTGGTGGTGCTCAAATCAATTTTGCTTGGCTTGCATGTTCAAAAAGATGACTACTCATTGCAATCCCTCAGGCTAGGAAGCCATCATACCACATAAAAGATTCAAGTCATAAACAAAATCTTGTTCAGAATCTGTTGTGATTCCTCCCTGGGTAACTTTCTGAAACAAGCCTATCATTCTTACTGTGGTGGCTGTCCTAATGTATACAGACTCAAGGGAGAAACAAGACTAGAGCATACCACTGTGATTATTTTAGGGGTTGGACTAAATCTATTTCATTTGAGCCAGGGGGGAATTAAACCATTTACAGGTCTCCTTGCCTTACTTCATCTGTAAGGAAGAAGAGGGTATTGAAATGGTTCTAGAACATAGGTCTTTTGTAACCACAGAGGAATCATCCTTCAGAATATACAAGGTTGGGGTGCCACATACTTTCTTTTAAATGTTGTTTCTCATGGTCTGAATCACCACTATCACGTTCAAAAGCGAATACTCCAGCAGAACAATAAGTTGGATATGTTCCATCCCTCCTAGCTTTATGAGTTCAGAATAGTAAATATAAACACATGGCCCTTTCTGCATTTTCAACATATATTGTAAGTTTTTATGCTATGAACACTATACTATTCAGTTTACTAAGGATTGAAAACAGTTTAAACATGATTTTTGAACTGGTTATTAGAGTACTATTTTATGTTACTCCTCTTTTTTCTCATAGAGATTGCCTATATTTCAATCATTTCACTGGTAAAAAATTAAAAGTATCAAGAGGAGAAACTAAAATTGCTAATTTTAATGTTGTGATCTAGCATTTATTTTGCATCCATTTAACACAAACCCTCTATTATGAGAGATTTAAATGTTTTATTTAGCTGTCACATGATTATGAAATAGGTGTTTGTTTTAATTTGGAGTGCATAAAAAAATCAATGACCTGGAATGATTAAGAAAGTATTATATTTGGCAATTTCAGATTTGGCAGTATAGGTAAATAAATTTGATTATTGGTTTTACAAATTACCATCTGTGTGATTTTTAGGAAGTTACATTTTCTAAGCTTAATTTCCTTATTAGTAAAAAGATGATGAGGGTATTACCTGCCTTTTATTATAGGTGTGAATATTAAATAGAATAACGTGTAGACTAAAATTTGGCCCATTGAAACTACTAAAATGTCAGTTATTTGGATACTAATTATTAATGTATCTACTCAAACAAAGTGTCAAAGAGTGGTTTCAAATTCATATCTATAAGACTAACATTTTTGACAAAAGTGATGGTAACCAAGAGGAAAATGAATGGTAAAAATAAGATTTTTGAGGCTTGAAAAATACTGTTTAAAATACTATGATCATTTGCAAATTGATAGTACTTCTGTATATTTATAGACTTTATCAAAATTTTAATGAATACTATATTCTGATCTGGAGTCCTGGTGTGGCACTGTAAGATAAGCATTGGATTGCTAATCACATGGTTGGCAGTTCAAACGCACTAGTCACTCCTTTAAAATCCTTTGAGTCAGCGTTGGGTCGCTATGAGTCAGAACTGACTTGACGGCACTTAACAACAACAACATAATTTGATATATAATGTATTTAGACAATTTCAGTGCCACTAGAAATACCTTCTTCCCCAACTTAGGGAAATATTCAATATTGTGGTTGTTATTGTTAAGAGCTGTTGAGTTGGTTCTGACCCACAGTGACCCTGTATAGGGTTTCCAAGGAGCAGCTGGTGAGTTTGAACTGCCGACATTGAAATTCAAACCGACTTGCTGTTGAGTGCTTATCCTACAGTGAGTGCCACACCAGGACCCAGACATTGTTGTTGTTAAGTACCATGGAGTCGGTTCCGACTCTTTCTGACCCTGTACAGGGTTTCTGAGGCTGTAAATCTTTACAGGAGCAGAAAGCCTCATCTTTCTCCCGCGGAACCGCTGGTATTTTCGAACTGCTGACCTTGCGGTTGGCAGCCCGTCTCGAAACCACTACTCTAGCAGAGTTCCTTAAGACTCAGATATTAGTACCTGGTTTATCAAGAAGCCTCAGCAATCTTCATGTTATGAAGTGAGTAAAATAGGTATGAATAAAGCACTTAAATAATAGAAATAGAAGTAGTAATAATACTAATAATAGTTAACATATACAAAACCTATTATGTGCCAGGCCTTTCTAAGTACTTTGCTGTTGCTGCTGTTTAATGCTGTTGAGTCTGTTAAGACTCATAGCCACCTAGTATAGGGTTTCAAGGAGTGGCTGGTGAGTTTGAACTGCCGATCTTGTGGTTCAAACCTTGCGGTCCTGCATTTATCCTACAGCGCCACACTAGGACTCAACATATAATATGTCTTTCAATTCACTTGGCTTTCCTCTGAGATTATTGTTAGGTGCCATTGATTCAGTTCCCATTCTTAATACAACAGAACAAAGCACTTCCTTGTCCTGTGCCATCTTCACAATTGTCACAATTGTTACAAAATTGTCACAAATGTTCGCCATTACTGCTGCAACTGTGTCAATCCATCTTGATGGGGGTCTTCTTTTGTGCCCACTCTCTGCTTTACTGAGCATGATGTCCTTCTTTCTCCAGGGACTGTCCCTCCTAATCACATGTCCAAAGTATGATAATACCTCTTGGTGGTGTTATTTTATCACCATTTTACAGTTGAGGAAATTGAGGCACAAAAAGATTCTGTATCTTACCCAAAATTACAGTCAGCAAGTATGATTGTTGGAGAACTGGGGTTCAGAGCAAAGCAATGTGAATCTTGGGTTTGTGCTCTTAAGCCTTTAGCTAAGTGGAAAGCAAGTAAAATATTTATATCCTTTTTCCACTGCAGGTTTCTGGATGTACTGAGTGATGGAGCTGGACCTCAAGTGTCTTGCTATATTACAGCACCATCATATGTTTTACAGCATCTAGAATGCCAAATAACTAATAACATGAGTTCTTTAATAGTGAGTGATAATGAAGAGTTGGTCAGCAATATCATCACTATTGAATTCTCAGATCAGAAAAAGAGAATCCCATTTCCAATATGCATTGCAATTCCATTTACTGCACGTTACAAGGGAAACTACAAAGATGTCATGGTGAAAGTGTCAGACTTAAGCCTTCAATCAAGTTACCTAACCCCAAATTCACTAGAAGGACAAAGAGGAAGTTATAAGGTTGGTACAGTATTTGCTGTTTGGCTCCTCTTTCTAAATATGATTCAGGTTCTTAGATTGTCTTGTAGCTAGAACTGCTCATAGGCAGCAAATGGAAGAGTTGATGTATTTATTCCAGTGCACTCATGCATTTTTACCATCCATAAAGATCAAAAGGCAGAAATTTTTTACCAAAATTTAGGCCTATTATTTTTTGAGAGCAAATATATATTTATTTATTTATTTCACCTGAGGAACAAAACCAACTTCATGGCCCAGTTAGCAACATGCTGTAGACTATTTCTAGACTAACATTTCAACTGTTATTCAAATGGTCTAAAATTTTAAATGTTAAAAATTTTAGATGATAATACTTTTATTTTTCATCCTTTAAGGGTTAACAAATATGAAAAAAAAAAAGTTTTAAAAGCAAATGTGTGTGTGTGTGTGCCTGTGAGATTTTTAATTCCATAAGCGGTATTTAGTCCAAGCAGTGAAACCAATGTGTGTAGCAGTTAGGATATGGGCTGTGGAGGTAGATTGGTTGGGTTGAAATTTGGTTCCTATGCTTCTTTTGCTGTGTGGATTTAGACATGTAGCTTTGATGTGATTCACTGTTTCCACCTAAAAGTGAACAAAACAATAGTGTGTAGCTGATAGGTTTGTAAGGATTAAGGAGATAAGAACTTAAAGGGTAAAAGGTAGCTTGTAGATAAGTTATCATTTTGATTAATAAATGATCATTTTTCATAGTAGGCCTTATTGTAGTAACTGTGAATTCCCACTCAAAGTTGGGAAATCATAGGTTGGGAAGAGATAATATACAAAATTATTGAGCTTAGCATAGAAATGTTGGGCATTAATGCTTAATGTATTCTGTAAGCAGCGTTGTCAGATTATCAAATAAGCAAGGTACATGCTAATTTTTACTGAACAATTTTACACTTTTTCACCACAAATTCTGCTTTTAGGTATAATTGACATCTGTATCTCTCTTGATTCCATACTACCTTCCTACAAAATCAAAGCCTGTTTTCAAATTCACAATCCCTACTGACCACAAGGTTGGTTTGAATAACAAGGTGGGCAGTACAAACTCACCAGCCACTCCTTGGAAGCCCTATACAGGGACACTATGAGTTGGAACCAACTAGATGGCACTTAACAACAACAACAACAGCAACAACAACCACAACAGGGATGGAGTATTCAGCATGGATTTACTTGTACTTACTTTCTAATCTGCAATGAACTGTTTCACTTGTTTTCACTGTGCCTTTTTCACACAGGTAAACTTGTTCACTACAGATTTGGAAGTAAACACATATATGCCCAGGGTTCTTGCTTATCAAGTTCTTCACACCTGTCTTTAGGTCATTGAAAGTTTTCTTCCTTTTTTTTTTCTTCAAATTGTGGTAAACTATGTCACAAAGAATGACCATTTCAACCATTTTTATGTGCTCAATTCAGTGGCACTAATTATGTTCACCATGTTGTATAACCATTGTTGTTGTTAGGTGCCATGGAGTTGGCCAGCCCATCTGACTGTCATATAAAAAGCAAAAACTGCTCATAGAACATGTGCCGTTTATAAAATAAATACTCAAATGTTTAGTAAATAAATAAATAGATATCTAAAGCAAAAGGAAAAAGAACCATTCCTGTAGTTAAAACCCAAAACAAAACAAAAGGATTTTACTTTTTGCTTTACTTTAGTTGTTTAAGTGGTAGTTATCCCTATTTTTAGTTTAAGGAAATTTAACTTGGATTCCTTCCAAAATTTTTTATGTGGGTCATACCACATTTAAAGATTCTAATTCTGGAGGCAGAAAAACCATCCTGAGAGTTCTGCTTAAAAATCCTTATGTGCTCCCCAACACCTGCCAAATGTGGTCTAAATACTTTAACATAACAACCAGGAGCAGTTCACAGATGATCTTCCTTCCTTACCTCTCACCATTTCCCTGAAGCCAATTCAGAACATTCACCATGCCCTGAATTTTCCCAACAATAGATTCATGCAGTGATATTGTGAAATCTCTTCCTTAGTCAGCTTTCAAATGAGAGATTCTTTTCCCTGTGATTGTCCTTGTAATGTTTGATTGTTGGGGTGGAGCCCGGCTGGTGTTTGGGGAAACATGAATAGACCAAATTACTTCTAAACCTTCCTTCTCATTTTAAGCTTTGGTGATTATATGTGTAGATCATGTTGTTTTCATTTTTCTACTGAGTTCCCTTTTGTGTGATAAAGAAGCCCACATATATATATTAGAAATTTAAATGCCATGATATAAAAAGAAACACAAAAATCTCTCTCTGCAGTTATCAGCTCCCATTCCACAGAGGAGAAAAATAGAGAAAATGACTGTACTTCAGTGCCCAAAGGGATTGTGACTTTTCAGAAGGAATACTTTGCTGATAGTACAGGTGCTATGGCATTTTAGTAAACTACCCAAAGGAGGCGATTTCAGTCAGAGAGTCTAGGGAAAAAGACCTGGGGATAGATTGACTTCTGAAAATCAGTCAATGAAAATCTCCCAGATTACAAGGATTCAATCCTCAACTGATCATAGGTGTGGCCCAGATCCAGGGAGTATTTTATTCTGAGGTGCATAGAGTCACCACCACCATGCTATCTCATGGAGGACCATCAATTGTGGGTTAATGGCATCTATCCAAATGGTGATAAAAAAATCCATAGAGTATATAAAACATGTGCTGAGCCAAAAACATCATTATAGCTTGTTTTAATGTTCTTTAATCCATACAGGGGACCTGTGCTGAGGTGAAAGTTTACAAGTTGGGTATCTTTTCTGTTGTGTCTTGTTTAAAGAAAGAGTCCTTCACAGTAACAAAGAAAGGCCTTACTTTGAAGCCAAGCATGGATTCCCGGATATCCTTAAATTACCCTCCTGGTGTTTTCAGCTCACCAGTACTTGTACAATTAAAGGTATGTGCACTGTGGATTAATGCACTGGACTGCAAGTTTGGCTTGAACAGCAAGGATGGCAGTTCAAGCTCACCAAATGGACTTTGGAAACCATATACAGGGTCACTATGAGTCAGAACTGATTCAACAGTACTTGACAACAACAACAACAACTGAAAAATGGCGAGTTATAGATATTATGGGTCATTAGGACCTAAAGGATAAAGAGTATACAACTATTTAATGTGACAAATAGTGGATTCTTCCCTTACATGAGTAATAACATAAAATATAGGTTATTATATAAAGTAGTAATTTAGAGTATATAGATTCTCATTCTCTGAAATAAATATATGATTTATTTAAAATCCTGTCTAGCTAGTTTTGCATTGTATACTTTTTGATATTTATTTATCAAAACATGTGTTGTGTGTCTATGACCAACATTGAGGCACATGACCAACATTGAGGCTTTCCTGAAATCCAAGATTTTTACCTGAGAGAGTGATAAGAAAGATGATAATTAATTAAAGTATTTATGATAATGAATATTTGGCTATATTTCATTATGAAGAATTACCTCTTATTTTGGAATAAGGATTCAACATATGTAAATACTACTCACAAAATGTATATAGATTTGTTAAGGTCAGTTTTAGAAGATTTATTGTCTTAAATAATATTCTTTGTCCTTCTGTCCTCTACTCTAAGCCCACACACTCCATTTATTTCTGCTAGTTTGTTACTATAATTGGTAAGTGAGCAAAAAGATTAGGTAGAAAATATTTTGTGACTATTTTATTTTCCATGAACTTGTAATTTTGGAATTATGTTCACTATTTTTATTTTTAGCCATTCCTATGTGAGAGGAAACACTTAAGTAAATATAATTTTGTTTTTTCAATTTTTAAAAATCGCTTATCTAATAATAGTTCTAATAAGAAATTATGTAAAATGTCTATTTTGTTTTTTATGTCATTTTGTTGCCTATAATTAAGAGTGTTTCTCAGCTATTTATAACATAGGACAGGAAACCCAGATTTCAGAAAGACTTTTTTAAAAAGCGGGCTTAAATGATGTTTTCTTTTATAAAGTAGTGGAGTATGGATTTGGCCAATTTTCCTATACAATTTAACTAAGACTCTCATTGTAAATTTAATCACTATATATTCATAAATATAATAGAAGATAGACCTTGAATCACCTAAATATTTTTTCTTTTGAAAACATTCAAATTTCAGAAATGGTGCAAGAAGATTTTAATTAATGTTTGCCACTATTTGAACCATTTATTTTATCTTTTTTTTTCTATCTACATACTTATGCACACATCTGAGACTTCATTATAGACAGACATGAAGATACTACAAACCCAAACAGTTCAGTTCATTTTCATAAGCAAAGGGCATTGTCCTCCACAAGGACAGTGTAATGATTACAATCAAGAAATTAACCATGAATACCACACTGTTAATATAGCCTACATTCAGATTTCCTCCAACTCTCAAGTTATAGCCCTTATAAGTGTGTATGTGTAATTCATATATTTCGTCTTTCAGGTCATTTTGTTACTTACAATTAAGAGTGCTTCTCAGCTATTTATAGCATGAGTATATATGAATACACATATGTTGGAGAAAAATGAGACTTTCTGCTCCCATAAAGATTTACCACCTCTGAAATCCTATACAGGGTCGCTATGAGTCAGAACCAACTTCATGGCACTTAACAACAACAACAACAAATACAAATACACACACAGAGATACAAGAGGGGGATTTATAAAGTTTGTGGGCAAATGGAGTTAGAAGATAATTGTATTTTTCATGTACTGTGAACTTTTGAAGCCCCTCATACTTATTCCTGTAGGCATCCTTATGTTTGAATCTGTTTTCATATATTTGGTGCTAATATTGAGATCCACCAACCACCCAGCTGTCAGCTTGTTGTGCTGTGGTAGCTTGTGTGTTTCTGTGAGGGTAGAAGTTATGCCACTGGTCTTTAAAATACCGACAGTGTCATAGGTTTCAGTAGAGCTTTCAGACTAAGACAGACTAGGAAGAAAGACCTGTGATTCACTTCTGAAAATTAGTCAATGGAAACCTTTTACATCTAACAGCACATTGCTAGACTCACTTACTTTAGACACATCTTTAGGATAGATTAATTCCTAGAGGAAGAAATTGTGTATGGTGAACAGATGCCTAGGAGGGCAAGGGAGACCTTTGAGGAGATTAATTGGCACAGTAGTCAATAATGGATTCAAATATGCTGGTAACTGTGAGGATATCGGACTAGCAATATTTTGTTCTGTTGTACATATGATCACCATGAATTGGAGTCTACTTGATAGCAGGTAACTATCTATGTATCTCTAATATTATGGCACTATGTATCATGTGTGTGGCTCTGTGGGTTAATGCGCTGGACTGCAAAGTCATTTGAAATGCGAAGTTAGTGGTTCAAGCTCACCAACTGTCCCTTGGAAACTCTAAACAGGGTCACTCTGGGTTGGAACAGACTTGATGACACTTAATGATAACATTAACTTGTATCATGTAGGAAATCTGGTAGTAGTTATGAGTCAGGCTGAAATCTAATGGTTGACAGTTCGAAACTACCAGCGGTTCCACAGGAAAAAGATGAGACTTTCTGTTCCCATAAAGATTTACAGCTTACAAAACCCTAATACAGGGTCTCTATGAGTTGGAACCAACTCCATGGCACATAACCACCACCACCACCACCACCACCACACATTGAGTCCTTGTGTGGCACTATAGGATAAAACACTGGACCACAAGGTCAGTTTGAACCACAAGGTCAGAGGTTCAAACTCATCAGCTGCTCCTTGGAAACCCTATATAAGGTTTCTGTGAGTCAGAACTGACTTGACTGCACTTACTAGCAACAACAACATGCATTATATATGGATTGCTGATGTGGCACTGTAAGATAAGTACTGGTCTACGAATCACAGGTTAGCAGTTCAAACCCACCAGTTGCTCCTCAGAAACCCTATACAGGGTCACTATGAGTTGGAACTGACTCTACAGTACTTAACCAGATAAGAGCAACATGCAATGTGTAGAAATGGTTCAAACAGTTGAGTGTTCCAATATTAATTAAAAATTTGGTGGTTAGAATCTACCCAGAAACTTCTATTTCTATTTGGAAATCTATTTCCAAAAAAGTCACAGCCTTGAAAACTCTAGGAAATACCACCCATTTACAATGAACGGGGTAGCTGTATGTGAGACTAAACTCAATGCCTACTGGTATGTATCATGTAAGAAAAATCCTCTCCTCTTTGAGATTAAAGGAAAGAATGAGTGCCAGATGAGTTCAAAGGACTTTAAGTTTAGCATTTCAAGAGATTCTGTGGTTGGGAAGAAACATCAAAGGAAGAATTTGCACATAAAGTTATATTCTATGAACTTTTCAGAAAATTGGCTTAGTGATATGATAATAGTTTGTATCTATTGCTATATATATATGTATATATATTTTTTTTCTCTTTTTAGATCCAACCAGTTGACCCTTCTCTGGTGGCTTATTTAAAAACAAAGCAAGATACTTCCTACTCAGTAGTATCTACAAGTCCTCTGATACATATTCAGCACCCATCAACACATCCATTTCAGAAACCAATCACTGTATTCCTACCCTGCTCTCCACACAGTGATAAAAAGACTTTAGGGTCTGAGATAGGTCACAGAAGTACAACTAGTGTTACAACCAACCGGATTGTTCCTTTATACTTCAACCGGTAAGTAAGGTCTTAATATTCTTAACCAACTTGATGGTCAGAAAAGAAATCTAAATGGGTTTTTAAAATGTAATCAGAAATATGATATTTTCTGTTGTTGTTAAGTGCTGTTGATTTGATTCCAACTCATAGCCATTTTGTACAGGGTTTTCAAGGAGCGTCTGATGGGTATGAACTGCTGATCTTGAGGTTAATATAGTATAGCATTTTTTACCCACAGCCGTTGAATTAATTTAACGTTGTTGTTGTTATATGCTGTGGAGTCGGTTCTGACTCATAGCTACCCTGTATAGGGTTTCATAGGCTGTAAATCTTTATGGGAGCAGAAGCAGCCCGATTCGTTGTTATTGTTGTTAAGAGCCATCGAGTTGGTTCCGACCCATAGAAACCCTGTATACGGTTTCCAAGGACCAGCTGGTGAGCTTGAACCACCGATCTTGCAGTTCAAATGACTTTGTAGTCTGGTGCATTAACCCACAGTGCCTTATCCCGCAAACAAATTGATTTTCAATCTGTTTTTGTCATATAGATAAATTCCTTCTTGGAGCAATTAAAAAAATTTTTTTTTTTTTTTTTTCAGTGGGTGGGCAGGAGTAAGGAGTGAGGGCTAGGGTTAGGGCTGTGGCGAGACCTTAGCTAGACTTAGGACTTCATTTATTGTTATGATAGTTAGGTATGGTTAGCACTGGGGTTAGTGTTAGGGTGAGGGCTGACCTAGGGCTGGGAGTAAGATTTCGGCTAGGTTTTAGGGTTGCAGCCAGGCTTATTTTTAATTAATTAATTTATTAAGTGTTTTATTGTGAATTATATGATAGTTTACATGGGAGAACATTAGTTTACATTCATTCTGTCTTACATAGTATCATTGCCAAGGTTACAATCCCCTCCATTCATCATCAACTGACCAAAGGATATGCCCTGCAAGCCTGCCCCCTACTATCCCCCCCATCCCCACCCCCCAGTCTTCAGCACACAGTCACTCTCCCTCTCTGGATCTAAAGTCCCCAGCTGCTCCATCGCTCCACGTCATTGTCTCTGCCTCCATCTCGGGCATCACTGCTTCTCTGGGTATGTTCCTGCTCTACACTCTTCTCCATTGATGGTCCTAGGGACCTCCGCTCCTAGACTGAAAAGTTATTCCCTCCCTTCCTTGCTATAAAATGTCTACCTTTACATTTCCAACCTTC